GACAAAGTTATTCAACTTATGACACCACTTTGTCGTATATAAAAAAGAATCAATATAGATATAATAAAATCAATTGCACATTGTCAAATTCGAGATAAAGTTATTGTTTATGGTTTTCTGAACAATAAGAAAACTACCCATCACTCAGAAAAATAACAAAAATAGAAAAAAAATCCTGCATTATTTAATTATTTTTTAAATTAATTAAAGAAAAGTGAAAATAGTACCAACAGTTTAACTTTTCTTGATAAATTATATTAAGTTTAGAATGGAGAAAACTTGATAAATTAGTTTTAAATCCAGTCATTTTTATTTTTCTCTTTTAATAAAAATTAATAGTTTGAAAAAAAGAAAAAACAAGAAAGCATTAAGGTGTTTCCGATATCTTCAACAAAATTAGTAAATCGATTGAATCTAATTTCAATGAAAAAACTAATAGGTGGATAATACTAATCCGATAACAGTGATAACAGATATCGTTAATGGAGTGAATTATAAGGGATGAAAAAAAAAAAAAATTCCATCGCATTACTGCTAAATGTGAAATTTCAGACAGTGGAGAGTTTAGTCATGGTAATCCCTTGAATTAGCATTCGGTAATGTGGAATGTTCAATTACATTGTGCAATAAAATTAAATAAATAATTGTCCATCAACTACCACCATTCTCTCTTTAAATAAATCTGGATGATACATCCAACAAGAACTATGCATACACATGAAAGTGTGTAGAGATTTTATTTAACGTATCATCATAGTACACTGTTTACTTCATACGTAAAATATTCTGTTACATTCAATGATACACATATACGTATGTATTTATCGTGAATCTACTCAAAATAATCTATTTAAATTCTCATTAATGTTGATGTTTGTCATTAATTATCATTACATATTAATTATTGATTCTTTCAATGTTTTTTTGCGGTGATATTGAGGTTGTTGATTAATTCTTTTATCTCAGTGCAAATTACAGATTCTTCATCCATATTGACTTTCTGGTTATTTAAAAAATAATTCATTAATTGAAATTCAGTATGAATTGAAATCTTTCTTAATTTTTTTTTTAATCCTTTTTGATCAATATTTTATCCTTTTACCAAGACGTATATTCTATTATTCATCTCATTAGAAATTGAAATTAAACCTTAAAATAAAATTGGTATAAGTTTAATGATTCGTTTGTTATTAATAATAATTTTCTTTTATTTTATGAAATAATAATTTCATTCAATACATGATGAATTTAAAAAAAAGACTAGTATTCTTTTTTAATGATAAATTAATATATTAAACTAATTATTCAAATTAATTAAAAACTAATAATGGTTCATTTCATCATTAACCTCATGGTTTTTTAAAGATGCAATAAACTGTTTAAAGAATATTTTTTTCTATGAATGATAGAATGTTAAATCAATGGCATAGTAATGAAACTTTGAAAAATTTTTAACAAAAAAAAGGAAAAACTTTTTAAGAACTTTTCAGAAAATAAAATAATTTAATTTCATACAGATACTTTCTATCCAGAAAAAATGTAATTATATTTGCAGTCGAGTAGAATAAAAATTTCAACTACAATATTTTTCATGAAGAATAAGAATAAAAAAGAACAATTTCTTTATTTAAACAATAACGATGTATAACTATTTTTTTATCATTCAAAAATATATATCTATTTTAGTTGATGATGATAATTATTGGATAACGACTGTTGAATTGTTAGATTAATTATTCCAACGTCAAATAAATTAACCAACAATAAATTGACCTTTCTATGAGTCATGAATGACCCGTTAATGATCTCTAATAGTAATTTGCATCCTAACAAAAATTAGACAAACAGTAAATCTAATTAAATAAAATTTTAAATAATAGCATTATAAAATTAATTAAATTTTCGACGATTTTAATTAACAAGAAGTCTAAATGAAGACAATTAAAAAGGGGGGCTTTTGTACACATTATTTTGTTGGTTTATCGTTAATATTGTAAACTTCATAAACACACGCTTAGTTTTTATAACAAAAAATATTAATAACTGTCAAGAGTTGATACACGATTCTTTATTGAAATAGTAAAGTTTTATTCCAACAGCTGTCAAATATTTCTATTAAGATTCAATCATTTTTTTCATAGTATTCATAAAATAAATTTATTTCCGTGAATTTATTTAATTATATGTTAATAAATAATTATTCGTTCTTTCAATGTACTCGTAGATTGGATAAAAAGTACTATAGACATAAAATAGATCAATTCAGTAAATGAAATGAAAATAAATAAACACAATTGTAACAAACAGATGCCAAATGATTTTAATAGGAAAACATTCCATGAATAACTGAAAATAAGTATACATATAGTAAAGAAACTGATACCGCTAATTTCACGTTGGCACAATGTCAATTTATTATACCCCAAGCATCGCATAGTTGTGGCCACCACCTACACTTTATACCATAGTTCTGTACTCATAGTTAGTATACACGCTAATGCTAACGGCTACTCTGCTGTCTCTGTGGAACTGTCCAAATTATCCTACTCTATATGCCGTCACTGTCACTGTCAAGCTCATCTACTAATTTTCCACATTTACTGTCAACTCTTCTTGCTACATTATCCCATTTAAAGGTTACTTTATTATTTATTTTATTCCGTTCATCAACTTCCTTTAAACTTTAGTTCTTTTTTTTATTTACTCCCTTTTTATTACATATTCTATTTTATTTATTGGTATAAGAATGAAGAAGCATTCAGTTCATTGGCTGATATGTCTGATCATATGAACTTTTTTTAACCACTTGAGGCTACAAATGGCTTTTTACTGGTTAAACCAATCATTCATCCAATTTGAGGTTTATATTGAATCCTTTTTTCTTTTGTTTTTAATCAATAAACTTTTGAACTAATTGACGTTTTGTTGGAAAAAATTTCTTTCAACGTGATTTGAAGCTGGAAGTACTTTTTTCTGTTAAATGACATTTAAAAGAAAGATAATATTTATTTGATCAATCAAATATATGTACTTTTCATCAAGCAATTGGCAGAATTTTTTAAAATGAATTTATAGCTGGTAATTCTGAATTTATTTATTCAAATTATTTTTAATTTTTCCATGGTCCATATTTTTGAACAAATCTTCAAAAGTACTAGCAGTGATATATTGATGTATTTTTTTTTTTGAGGATCGATGAAAACTATTGCTAACAGTGCAATAGAAATGACTGGATAACACACCGAGATTTCATCGAGTTGTATAAAAATGCATGTGTCTATAATCTCTCTTGTCGGTTTAAATCCCACTTCCGGCCGAACCGGAAGTGCAATTCATGGTTAAATTTTGACAGCAAACAACAACTTCGCTTCATAACTTCATATACATTTTTTTCAAATCAAAAAAATTCATTTTTTAAATTTATTTATACCAAAAAATAATCTATTACTATTGAACCATTCAAGTACAATAAAATGTTGTTTGTTTTAATTTCCTTCTATAAATTAATTTTGTTTTAATAAAATAACTATACAATTTTCAGACAAACAGATTTTTCATGTAGTTTTATGATTAATTTTTTTGTTTAAATTAACAAAAATGTTGAGTGTAAGAATAAAGCGGAGTATACGTTAAAGAGTGATTTGAAACAAAGAGTGAACTTGGAATGAAAGAAGAAAAATGATGGTGAAGTAGAAAAAAATGGAGTAGAGTATGATGTAGAAAGCAAAAAGGCTTTAATCAGAAACTAAAAAGGACCTACTTTTCATTTATGAAAGGTGACTTTCAAGGGGTTGATACATAAAATGTCTTTCTTTTTGTCAAGGATTACAATGTGCTCAGTATATTCTTTGGACTTTATTGTTATTAATTTTTAAAAGAACTCGGTAACATTATAAGAAAAAAAAATAACGTAGCTATTACACACTCTGATATTTTAGACTTGTGAAAAGAGTTCTAAATACGTCAAGTATATCTCATCATGTGCAAATTTATTTTTCTAATTTCATCATTTATGCTGATTTACCTCATTTTTTTTTTCAAATTTTCATTCTTTATCTCTTCAGTATTTTTTCTCAATTTATTACTCGTAAATGTTTCATCAATCGAATATGTATTTTTATTTATTATCATAGCATTTTTAATGTCAATAAAAAATACATAAAGCTTTGAAAAGATTAATTATAATTTTATTGTTATTATTAATTGACAATTCCAATGTGTGTCGACATCATGTAAGCATTACGAAAAAAAAGATAAAATTCGAAACTGTTCACAATAATCCAAGAAACTCCCAACGAATTCGAATGAAAATAAGTACGGCTTATCTTCGACTGCACGCGCGCAATGAAAAAGCTTAAAAGCGTGCATGGAATCTAAAATATCGTTACGATAATAAGTTGAAATTTTTTATGCTCCACACTTGGAGAATATTTATAAAAATCTTCTCAGCCTATTTGCATACTTCAAAAAAATTAAATCACATGAAATAATCTACCAAAACGATTATAATAATAATTACAGTCCATTATTAATCTAAAAAAAACGTTTTATATTTCAGTATATCTTTGATTCGAAATATAATTGTTTTTTTTTTGTTTATACAAAAGCTTATCTGTATCGAAAGCTCGAAAGATGTCTATACTATCCTTTAGAAACACGCTCACTGCCTAATCTATATCTAAAAGAGTACTCGACGAAAATTGATAAAATAAAGTGCGCCGGCGCCTAAATCTATACTATGCTCTATTCTAACTCACAAACGTCGATTAAACTAGAATATAAGCTTATGTTTATTTGCTTTAATATGAAATGAAATATTTAAAAAATTATTATGAACAAGTAAATGAACGTGAAGGAAAACTAATAAACTATACGAAGCTAAATATACTTAAAAATAGAATATTTTAATTATTTTCGAACAAATATTGAACATACGAGGAAGAATGATGAGAAAATTTTCATTGTATGAAAATGGATAAAAATACTAATAAATGACTCACCAGTTCTCGATTACGCCGACGTTGGAAAAGTTTGGTGGAAAGCTCGCGGCCGCCATCGGTGGTCGCGGCGTAATTTTACTTGCTCCCTCACTTCCGGTTTTCGCCAGTTTTCACCACTGTAACAAACCAACAACTCCATTATCAGTGGTCCGTGATCTTTTTGAACGTTATTCTATTTAGATGCTTATGCAACCAACAAATGAAAGAGCTTAATATAAGTTATGTGATATTATGTGGATCAATGGCGTCATTGCATAAACATGCTAGCAAGCAATAGTTTGCTGAATAAAGGAATTTTTAGAATAGAAATAATGATAATAGTTATTTGTGATTTCAAAGCAGTAAATGAACAGATTTACGTAAATATCTTGAATGTAAATTTTTTTTCCAATCATTTTTTTCTAGGCTGAAGCTTTTTTCGTTCAAGATTGAAAATTCTAATAATAGATATTATCAATGATATCCAAAATATATATAGATGAATGAAAAAAATTTATTAATAAATAATAGTCAAACTAGAATAAAAAAAAGTAGTAATTGATAATAGCAATGTTGTTACTTGTAAAACTAGATTTCTAGCACTGCATTGGTGACATTCTATAGCTCAATTTATAGCACATACGTGGAAAAAGTTTTTTTTCAAGATTTAAAATAAATAAAATTGATTTATAACCATTCAGACCTCATAGCAAGTAGTAAATTTTATTAATAAAACCAACACAGAAGAATTTGTTTCAAATGCCCCTAAGGCATTCTAGAGAACATCAAACAGGGATTAAAGAAAAAAAAATTGATTCTTCACCAAAAGATTTTCATACAACTTTGTACAATGGATTATTGATGTTTATGAGGGTATTGTGTATTGGGTCACTGTTGTCACCTCATTATCACTACATTAACCATTTTTATCTATAGATATATTTCTTTGTTAAAATCTTAATATATATGTACATATATATTTTAATTAAATGTTTTCATCATTTGCTTAGAATTCACTTCTCGACTACAATCAGCTCGAAATAATTAATTCTCACACTGTAATCATACGTTTCTGAAAATTAGTTTTTCGACTTTGATTAGAATATGTATCATGCATAACAATGAATTCACATATCTTGATTCTACAACTTTAGAATAAACTAATGAATTTTATTTATTTCAATAAGTCAAATAACGAAAATGATTCATAACTTGATATTACACAATATAATTTTAAATTGAAGTTTTGATTACGATAAACAAATTTTCTTTTATGAAAATAAAATTTATAGATCGAAAATATATAAGATGTATTTCAGTTGACATCTTCACAATAAACTACTAAATCTTTTTTAGTAATTATATGTACATTGCATAATACAAGTTAATCATTAATAAATCATTTTTATTATCCTTAGTTAATCTCATCTATTTATCTTTATGGTCGTATCATGACATATTTAAGTGACAATCAATCAAACTTATTTATGATAAATTTGTTATAAAAATTTTTTATCGCGAATAATTACTGCAATAAACAAAAAAAGTTATTTTTTATAAACTTTATCAAATCAATAATAAAGTAATGTAAAATATAATTTAATAGGCTGTTATTAATATTGTTAATAACAGGATAATTAAATAGAAGGAATATTTATTTTGGTTGAATATTATTTAGAAGTTAAATTCTTCAAATATAAAACGGTCTTGTCTAATTCGAATTTAAATAATTTAAATAATGTAAAATTTAGAGTGACAATTAACGGAAGGCAGTTTGAGAATTAAACGAGAATCGATGGCCCGAATGCTTTGAATCGTTTCCAAGACGAGCCAAAAGTCCGTTTGGAAGGTTACCAAAGGAAGATGGCGAGGGGAATGACAAGAGGAAGAAGAAAAGAAAGATCTGCCAACAAAACCAGGCGCCGTAGCATTTCTACTTGGTATAATGACTGCAGGAGAGGAAGAAATCTGGAGAAAAATTTGCATCAGCAACGCCCTTCTTAATAGAAATGTCATTATGGAAATATCATATTTTTTCAAGCATCTTATTCAGGACAAACTTTAATTTACGTCGCTTGATACAATCGTCTTCCTTTTACACTTTTTTAAATTCATTTTTACCGTCAATTTTTTTAGTTATGCTCTCCTTACATTTCTTGTATATCTCTAGACAGCTAAAGGGTATACAGACAAGGATCGATGAATTCGCGGTCCATTTGGCAACGAGTCTGATGCGACGCCATTGATGCAACCGACATTCGCGATAAAGAAAAGTGAGGGTTGAAGAGTTTAAATATTTAAGAGGATATATTTATCAAGTAAATCAAACCATGATAGAAAATGAATTTACTTTTGTAAATAAAAGTTTTACATTTTTTTATTCCAAACACAATGTGGTATTTTTTATGATTTTTATTTTAAAAAAAAATATAAGCTTAATTAGCATCAGTAGTTGTATTTCTACTCTTATATAAATGTGTAATACAATAGAAAAAATTTCATTGAGAGAATGTTTCTCGTTACAAAAATTTTTTCTATACCAACTATTGTTCTGTTTATTAATAATTAAAAGTTAAATGAAAAATTGAAAAAAAGTTACTTTGACATTTATACTGATTGTACAAATCATACATACGAATTGATTTTATAAAATTGCCAAAATCACAGTGCAAAATAAAATAATCAATATCACACAGGTCATTGATCTCCACGCTAACAATAATATATAAATTTTTTTCATCACTCTATCTTATTGAGGTGAGTGTTAAAAATAATTTTTCACTAGTTAAATTTCAACAATTATCCAACAATCCTCTACTAATTATTTGTTTTGCAAAATTATTTAGTACTCCAAATTTCCATGATCAACCGTAGATAGAGATATTCACAAATTTCCTCATTAAACTAAGAAGTTTAAATTTAAATACTATTATCATAGTTGTTTTTATGAGAGTATTTGATAACTATTATAAGTTAGACGTTATTATATCAAACATAATAGATTATATATAGACATATATACATAGATCGAAGACCCAACAAACTTTAGTACATACTGACGCATTAGTGTTGCGTCACACACCATTATTTGAAGCATTATTTCAACTATGTGAGTGAACTTTGCATCAATACTTCCCATGAGAAACTCTATCGGCAAACTAAACTAAATACAAGCTGAAGAACTGATGCTCGTAAACATAAGATGAAACTGTGTATAAATATTGAGAGAAAAATCACAAAAGTAAATATGAATAATAAATAATAACTGATATTTTTAAATTCAAAAAATATTAAAATAAAACAGTGATATTCCTCATTCAAAATACTAATGTGTTTCTTTAAAATCTTATCGTTATGATGTTCTTATTGTCTTACAATATTAATAATTATGAAAAAAATACTCAAACAAAGCTAATTAATTCGAGAATAATCCAATTAAGAAACTTACAAGATTTAATAGAGCTACGTACCATGAAATGAAATTCCATTCTTCCCTTGTTTTTTTTTTCTCTACCCACTCAAAACTTTTTTATTTTTAAGTTTCTTTTTTTTTCATTCAACTTTTTCTTCTCCAACTGAATATTCTTTGATGTAAAATAAATAAATATTCAAAATCGAATTAATTTATTTTTTATTTTTATTATTGAGAATTAAAGTGTTTTGTATTCATGAATTCACAATGGTAATGAAAACGCTTAGTAGAAAAACTATAAACATTTTGACGAGAAAACGCTTTAGGAAGATCTAGACTGTATGAAGGATCCCAGAAGAGGAAGAAAATTAACCCTGACGTCTCGTCGTCAGATCGTAACTCGAGTAAGTGGCAGTAGAAGAGAACGGAGATAAACTAAAGCTCAGAGCTAAAGAAAAATATAAATTCCTCGAGATGAGACAGTCTAAAAGCCTTAGCGTCACGTACCTCGTAATGTTTTTGTAATAAATTCCAACAAATTCACGTACCTAAACCGTTTCAATAAGTGTAATATAGGAGTAAAAGGTACACTTGTAAATGCTGATAATATTAATATGTCTACAGAAATAAATTATTTGAAAAAAGAAATCCCTTATTAATGGAAATAAAATGAAGAATAATTTAGATTAGTGTTTTTATGAAGTATTTTACAAAATTAATGTATGCCATTTAATTTTATATTCCATTTTGTTAGTCACTAAATATTACTTATCGACTGGCACTCCCGAATGGATGTTTCTAAATCGTTTAAAAGCTTTTTGCACACCAAAAGTTTCAAACTTGTTTACAAATATTTTTCACTGTAGTGAGCGACCTTTGTAAGTTTTGTTCATTAAGCTTCATTTAAATAAATTTATATATAGATATATAATGATTTTTTAACATACTTCCACGTAAAAACGTATTTTTTATGAGACAAAGTTATCACAATAGTCTAGTTATTTTTAAAATTTTTTCAAAACTTTATTTACATCAACTTTTCAATAAATATTAATTATTATTATTAATCTCACCTCTTTAATAGAGATAAAAGCAATTTATGAAAGTGATAAACAATGAAAATTTCTCTTTTGTAAAAAAATAATAATGAAAAAATGTTATTTTATCAAAGAATGTTATCAGTTTGCTGAAAAAGGAAATTTTTTTTTTAATCAATGGACCTTATAAGTAAAATTGTTTATGTATTATAAATTTTATACGTTTCCTCATTTGGCCAAACTTGTAAATAAATCAAATATTTATTAGCATTATGTTCTAAGAAATATCAATCCACCTACTCATATAGTTTCTTGACTTGGTCATCCGGTTTTTCACTTCCCGTTATCTCTCAACTGGATTCTCTTACAGAAAGTTGTTGGAACAGACCTGATCTAATCCTTCTCTGCAACCTATTTGATAACCGATCTATTTTCTGTTCTCCATAACTGGATTTAAGTCCTAACGCTTGTTTAACTACCTAAATGGACTCAGGGCGCAGACAGAATATAGACTACTACTATCCTCAATTTACATATGTGTACCACGTTTCGGTATTGACACAAGTGGCTTTGAACGTTGCTAGAATAGATTGTGTTAACTAATAGATAGCCAATTGACATTGTCACAACGCTCTTCGACATTTCGAACTGATTTTCGCGGATGATTTATAACATACTATGCAAATTG